AGCTGACAGGACATGAATAACTGTTTAATCTTTGTATGACATTCTCTGGACCTCTTTGCTCCTTAATTGTACAGATGCTGTTCCTCATCACCTGCGGCCTATTCAGAGGAAGCATCTGCCTTGATCTAAGAACTTTGTTGTCAATTACTAGGGGACCCTTGCCAAGGAAAGATTCCTGCCAAATGATTTCTGAGCCTTGAGATGAACAATTGCAAATACTTACTGGATCCAGCCTTGCATGATGCACACATGCCTAGAATTGCTTTATCTGGAGCATTCAACATGCAAATAAGGGATCTCATCCTTAACTGCTACCACAATCAACGGCATTTATATGTGCATAACTCTGTGCAGGTTTTACCCATTGCTGGAAATTGCAGGAAGGGAGAGTGCTCTTGCTCTCAGGTCCTGCTTGTGGGTTTCCCATTGGGCATTTGGTTGTTTGCCTCTGAAAGAACAGGATGGATGGATGCTAGACTAGATGAGCCCCTGGCCTGACTCAGCAGGGTTTGTCTCCTGTGCTTGTGTTCTCTGCACAGATGGGCATCTCTGGCTAACTTTGCACCTTTGATAACTAGAGGTGGCATTTACTTGGAGAACCACACTCTGGGCACTAACATGTCTATTTATTCGTGGCAGTATTTGGAGAGTTGCTTCATGCTATTTATTTTATTTTCACACACACACAAAAAATTTTTATATGCCACCAACTCACATAAAATATCAAGGCAGAGTACAATAATATATACAAGGGCAATGAAACATAAAATATCATAAAAACAACACAGAATAATCATAAAACTGAATGGCTCCTATTAGAAAGGCTGACTAGGCTTGTTGGCATAAAAAGGTCTATGAGAGATGTTGGGAAATCAGCAAGCAGCAATGCCTTTCAAATCTCTGGTGAGCAGTATTCTACAGCATGGGATCGGGGACAAACGGTGCTCATACACACTGTCCTTTAATGTGGATAGGGAGCTTTCTGCATCTCCATTAATTCTCCATTGCTTATTTGATGTTCTCCTCTAAATCCCTGCCTTCCCACACTTTCCCCTCCCTCAGTCTGGATTTTCTCATGCCCTCTCCTTTTCAGAACATCCTTAGTATGAGACAATCCAGACCAAGGGAAGGGAAAAGTGTGGGATGCGAGCGATTTGGAGGAGAATATCTGATGCATAATGAAGAATGAATAGGGGTACAGGAAGCTCACTGTCAGCCTGGTTAGCTCAGTAAGTTAGACTGTGATGCTGAGAATGCCAATGTTGCAGGGCTGCATATTCCTTGCATTGCAGGGTGTTGGACTACACGGTCCTCAGGGTCCCTTCCAACTCTACAATTCTATGATTCTATGATTCAGCAACAGTATAGATGAACCCCCAAAGCCCAACTTCTAGTTGAAGCCAGTGGGGACTTGGTAACATGGGAGAGAATTATCAGCACTCCTCTGGATTATCTCAGTGACTGAGCTGGGAAATAAGGGCTCAGGTGGTCTGTAAAGTATCATGGATCCAGGTTGTTTGGGGCTTTGTATATTAACACAAGAGCCTTGAAGTTGGTCCAGTAGCATATGGGCAGCAAGGGCAGATGTTATAGCAGAGGTATCACATACTCTCGCCCATTTGTCCCCATCAGCTGTCTAGCCTCTTTTTTCTGCACCAGCTGGAGCAGCCACCCCCTCAGTGCATTGCCACAGTCTAGTGTTGAGAATTACGTACCCAAGACCAGACCCTTGTAACTGCATTAATTAATGAGCAACAAATATTTACTTATTCATTCATTCACTTATCTCCCTCCGCACCGCTTTTAATTAAATCCACTCTTCACTCATACATATGAATTGTTGAAAGGTACAATACGAAAAGAATCCTGCAATCAACCTGATTGTTAAAATATGACCACAGCAATTAAATGTGTGCCTATAACGAGCAATCAGGCACAGGATCAGCCTGCGTTATACATTGTGCTGGCTGGGGCTGATGTGAGTTGCAGACCAAAACATCTGGAAGACACCAGGTTAGCAAAAGGCTCTTATAGACAAATCTGCGTACAGGGGGGAGGTTCAAAAGGTATCCACATGGTGCTCAGAGAACAATCTGCACCGAAACATTGGCAAGACAAAGGAGATGGTGTTGGACTTTTGGAGGAAGTGAGGGGAGCTAGCCCCGTTGCATATTATGGGGTGTGGAGAGAGTCTCTTCCTTTAAATTCCTGGGAGTCCATCTTAGTGAAGACCTTACTTGGAAGGTCAGTACAGCTCAGGTGGTTAGGCAGGCCCAACAGAGACTTCATTTCCTTAGGGTCTTGCGAAAGAACAATGTTAGACAGCAACTGATGATTTCCTTCTATCGGTCCACGATAGAAAGTATTCTCTCATACTGTATTACAGTGTGGTACGCTGGTTTGACAGCCATGGACAGAAAGTCCCTACAGAGGGTGGTGAAGACAGCACACAATATCGTGGACTGTCCCCTGAGTCTGCTAGATGTTATCACAGGAGACCATTGCCTCAGAAGAGCCAGGAACATTCTCAGGGATGACTCATACCCTGGCCAGCATCTTTTTAATCTCCTGCCCTTGGGCAGGAGATATAGAAGCATGATAAGCTGCACCAACAGGTTAAAGAACAGTTTCTACCTGTGGGCCGTGAGGCTGCTGAATGGAAGACAGCAACATTGCATTGCTGACATTGGGGTTGGTGGTCATATGACAGCACACAGAGTGTAACAAGGACTGAGAGATTGGGCGGGGGGTGGCTTGTTTAATCTCACTGTAAGCAAGTGGTACAGTGACAACAAACTATTTCTATTTCTATTATGCACAATAAAATTTAAGCCTAATGCCATGTGAGAAAATGCCCAGGCCAGGTGCCACAAGCCACCAAAAGAAGAGAAACAGCAAAGAAACACAACATTTGGATTTAAAGTGGGTGTGTTGGGAACAGCAAGTGCTTTGTTTCTGGCTGATGTTGGTGAATCGGAAAATAGATTAACTTTTGCTTAAGCAGCAAGACATAAAAGGGAAAAGCAGTTCTGTAAATTTGGCAGAGATTAAACCACTTCCTTGTACAAGCTCAGCAAACCACAGCTACTGTTGTTGCTGTCTCTTGGGCAGATAATAGATGGACTTTTAAATAAAAAAGCCCACATTTTCTTTATAAGGTTACTTTTAAATGGGTATCTCTCCCTTTATGTTGCTGACACAATATCTTTTGAAGTACTGTTTGTTTGTTTATTTGTTTGATGGTGCAGGAGCTATAACTACTAAGACCTTTCTTTGGCCAGGGAGAGCCCAAGATGCTTTGCTACCCCAAGTGGCATGCTCCTCGGGGGCCCAGATCTGTTGGCCCCCCTGCTGTTTCCAGCCTGACGCCTGAGGTGACTGCCTCATTGAGCCTCATGGGCAGGTTGGCTCTGCCTGGGACTGCTGGTTAAATCCAAACCCTCCAAGTGTCCCTATTTTCCAGGGACAGTCCCGGGTTTACAGAAGCTGTCCCGTTCCTGATTTGATCCCAGAATGTCCCGCTTTTCCTTAGGATGTCCCTATTTTCACTGGAGAGATGTTGGAGGGTATGGAGTTGTGTGATCCCCCCCGAGCCAGGTAGATAAGTAGCCATGCAACCTTTAGAAGACACCTGAAGGGAGCCCTGTATAGGGAAGGTTTTTTAATGCTTAATGTTTTGTTATGTTTTTATATATGTTGGAAGCAGTCCAGATCTGGAATGGGATACAGTGTGTGTGCAGGTAGTAATACTCTCCACCAACAAGCTGTTTTCCTCTGAACTCCCCTCGCCTACACAAACTGCAATTTGTCCTAATTGGAAAAACATGCAGGTCTCTCCAGATAATAACTGCTACTGAGTGTGTTTGAGTTGCAGTTATTCTTAGACAAATAACCAGATGTTGCAAGGGTGTAAACATTCAACTGAATTATTTTTACTTCTCTTATGATCAAAAAAGGAGGAGCTGTGCGGGATCAGATTGGTTCCTCATACCAGAACAAGCTCAAACTGCCCTTGTTCACTATGACAGTGCTGATTTTCTGATACTCGTCTCTAGTACCAAAACACTGTCCTGAATCACCCCCAGTTGCCTTTTTGGGGAAGAAGTTGGGTGGGTGAGGGAGATGCTTTTTAAATAATTTCCTCCACAAAGGCACCTGACCAACTCCTGTGCCTCAAGATCTGCCTAGGGATCAAATGCGGATTTTCCTTTCTCTCTCTCTCCAGCCCATGGGGCTCTCACTAGGCTGCACATCCTCCTCAGCACCAGGACACACCTGTCACCAACTCTACTTTGCACTCTCTTGGTTTTTTCCTAGCAGAGAAGAGGATAGATAGGGGTGTGTGAGTGTAGACACCAGCCTACTGTACTAAGGTAGAATTTGCATTTGTTGTTCCATCCTATTTTGTTTCTGTCCCTTCTTGCCACTGGTATGTGGCCTTCAGAAGGTTACCTAGAAGGGAATATGGCCCTTGGGCCAAAGAGTTCACCACCCCTGCTCTGCGCTGAGTGGCAGAGCCTCTCAGCTAACACTTCCAGTGATGATGCACCCTGTTTCTATGGAAATATGTCTGCTGCTCTTGTAATATTCTGTAGTGATTCCCATTGAAATGAGACTCACCCTAGTTCAGGGAATAGCAAGCAATTGCAAGTTTTACAGGGACAGGAATAATTTGCTTCAGTAAGAGTTTAAGGAACTGCCTTTACAGTGCATCAAGCTGTTGGTTAATTTAGCTAAATACTATGCTGACTGACAATGGCCCTCCAAAATTTCAGGCAGCATTTCCCACGAGTCTTACCTGGAGATGCTGGGGATTGAACCTGGACCTTTCTTGCCTGCAAAACAAATGTGACATTTTGTTTGTGTGCAACTGTATATATTTACAGATTGAGGAGAATGCAGCATATATATCTTGACAAAGTGACTTCCAGCCCAGCAAACCTTTTTTGGTGTTATTTTTTTAAAAACAACAACATACGTTTATTTATTTTTTAAGAATACAGCTGTAAAAAGTCAATAGGAAGTACAGATAAACAAAAGAAAACTGAGAAAACTGTAACCATGACTGTGACTGAGTGAAGTACAGACGTTGTTTACATTATCTTCTTCATCTTCAATATTAAGAAATAATTATGGTGCAATGGCAGGTGACAATTTATATCAGAAAGAAATCAGATCAAAAGCCATTAAAAAAACCAATTCTTGTGCAGGGCGATCCTCTGCATGTCTGCTTGGAAACATATTCTGCTGTGGGGTTTACTCACTCATTCTCAAAGCGGCTGAAAACACAGAAAGCAGGGGTGCATCTCAAAATCAACCATCGAAAGAACAATTTTTAAAATAACATAACGAAACAGCAACATAATAGCAAATGTAACAACATATAAAAGCCACAAAATTTCAGCACTATAAATATAACATCACACCTCCTGGCCATTGCAAAAATGACAACGAAGCGTGACAGTTCCCCCTTGGTTGAGCAGGGAACTCTTAATCTCAGGGTCGTGGGTTTGAGCCCCACGTTGGGCAAAAGATTCCTGCATTGCAGGGGGTTGGACTAGATGACCCTCGTGGTCCCTTCCAGCTCTACAGTTCTATGAGCTAGAAACACCTCACCTATCATCGTATTTGGTACTGAGAACAGGTTGTGGGCAGGCTAAAAGCACTGGCAAGCAGTGGCACCCGGGCCGTTTCTCTCCTCCCCACAGAAGAGCCAGCCAACTTGCTCCAGAGGGGCTAGAAACATAAAGAGGACGCAGCGCCCCCTCCCCGCTGGCCAAAGAGTTCCCCGTCGCCAAGAGCAACCAAACCCCACCCTTTGCCCCGCCCCTTCCTGGTTTCTCTTTTTTTAGTGGCTGACAAGGGCAGCGGCGGTCACATGACAGACCGAGTCCGACGAAGCAACATGGCTGCGTCCGAGGGGTAAGAAAGAGGCGCTGCTCCTGCTGCTGTTGCTTGGCAGGCTGCGGAGCAAAGCTGGCAGGCAGCACCGACGGCTGGCCGGAGGCAGAGGGTGGCTGGCTGGCTTGCAAGATTCCTTGCAGGAGCTGGAGGGAGGAATAAGCAGCACTCTCTTTGCCTCCTGCAGGAGATTCCTTCTTTGAAATGCTGCTGCGAAGCGTGTACACGTGTTGCAGATTCCCTCCGGTTTACGTCCCCTCTGCGACCTCTCCTACGAGTTAGTGGGAATGGGGTGTCTCCTGACGTGCACGTCGCCCGTGGCTGCGGGTGCACGGGTAGCCAATGCCACGGCTCCCCTGGCTTTCTCTATTCTCCTCGCCCCATCTCTCTATCCATATAGGCAGCAAGCGTGGCTGAGTGAGCTTTAGGCTGTGTATATGGCATACGTTTAAAGCACACAGACCCATTGGAGAGTTGCAGTTTCTGCCACCCTTAACTACAGTTTCCAGCAATCCTGGGTTGTGATAGAATGCGCTTTAAATGTGTGCTTGCAGCTGTAGGCTCTTCTGTGAAAGCCCTTGTGAAGTTTATAGTATTCTATGCAATGCTCTTGTTCTATTCCCTTTTCCATCTGTTTATAACCTTACTATGGGCAGCTTTGCACTGACCTTTCATTGCTTTCACTTCAGAAGTTAGTATGGATAATGCACAGGAATGTCAAAAGGGGTGGAGGGGAGCCAAAGGTCAGTGCTGCTTTGTGTGCAAAAGGTCCTAGGTTCAATGCCCTGCATCTCCAGGTGTGGTTGGGAAAGATCCCTGCCTAAAAGTCTTGGAGAGCTGTTGCTAGTTCCTTATGAGGATATGTGGGTGTCCTTATTTTGATAACAGTTTGAACTGGACTTTAGTACAGTACTTCTTTTCAGACTCAGTATTTGTATCAATGGGCATAATCTGCAGTTGTTTTTATTTCTTGGGGAGACGTTGGGTGTGGCTTTTCCAAGTATTTGTGTGTGTGAGATAGTTATTTTTTGTTTTAACCACCGCTCCCAGGCCTAAAAATATGATGTGTGGCTGTCCCAAACGGTCAATGTTGCTAAATGTGTTTGAGTTCCAGCTATTCTGTAACAGCAACAAGATCTCTAGGTTAAATTCAGTGGTAGAAATTTGCATGCAGAAAATACCATGTTCAGTCCCTAGCATCTTCAGGTAGGGCTGAGAGAGATCTTGTCTGAAATCCTGGAGCTCCATAACTGGCCAGTGTAGATAGTACAGAGCTAAATGGACTAATGGTCTGACTCTGAATAGAGGATCTACCTATGTTCTTGTTCTAGGGCAGTTTTTTTTAAGGGACTCTCAGCCGGAATTGATTTGGGTGATTAAGCAAGTCCAATGTACAGTAGGAAGAGAAGATTGTAACAAAGAGAAACTCACATAGTGATCCATGGGATGAAAACTGGTCTCCACATGTGAGGTGCAGTGTATTCCATATAGCTGTGGAATAGGGATGCATTTTAAAATTAAGGGATCTGCCTGGCCATGGTTTTTGCCAGGCTTGTCTTTGGCCAAGTTTGGCACACCCATTTCCCTTTCGGCTGTACTTTCCCTGAATCCTGCTGACCTGGAGCACATCTGCAAGGTTCCTCCTGACCCATCGACTAAAGCAGAGGTGGACTCACAACTCCAGTCAGCCCCAGAGTCCAAGAACATCTGTAGGGCCACAGGTTATCCATCCCTGCCTTGAAGGAAGATACTGGTGACCCAATGATTCTAGGATTGACTCTCTTGTGTTTGCTTGATGCACACACATCCCAGTGTATCAGCACAACTAACATTGTCCTTCTAGGCTCAGGTGGAACAGCTTTCCCCAGTGTGGTGCCCTCCATGTTTCAGATTGCAACTCCCATCAGCAGTCAGCATGTCTGTGCTAGTTGGGCCTGATAGGAATTAAAGTCCAAAATATCTGGAGGGCATCAGGTTGGGGAAGGCTGAGGGAGAGTAATAATAATAATAATAATAATAATAATAATTAATTTATTATTTGTACCCCGCCCATCTGGCTGGGTTTCCCCAGCCACTCTGGGTAGCTTCCATAGAAACCAAAAAACACTAAAATATCATACATTAAAAACTTCCCTGAACAGGGCTGCCTTAAGATGTCTTCTGAATGTCAGGTAGTTGTTTATCGTTTTGACATCTGATGGGAGGGCGTTCCACAGGGCGGGCGCCACTACCGAGAAGGCCCTTTGCCTGGTTCCCTGTAGCTTTGCTTCTCGCAATGAGGGAACCGCCAGAAGGCCCTCGGCGCTGGACCTCAGCGTCCGGGCAGAACGATGGGGGTGGAGACGCTCCTTCAGGTATACTGGGCCGAGGCCGTTTAGGGCTTTAAAGGTCAACACCAGCACTTTGAATTGTGCTCGGAAACGTACGTAAGGCATATGCAGGCATATCTCTTGGGCTGTGAGTGATTTTTGAATTGCAGCAACAATGTTTCAGTGTAAACAATTGCTTTCTGCTTCCATTTCACTTCCCCCATTTAATAAAAAAAATGGTTGCTTTCCTACCCCAGACATTTTTTCAAAGCAACTGTTGGACTCTCTAAATCCTATTAAAAATCAGTCGTGCTTCCTTTGTGCTTCATCGCAGGTGCCACAGATCTATTCATTACTGCTGTAATGTTAAACCTCATACTGTAAAAAATGACCTTGTCAGTCTTAAGGCTTTTGATTAAGGGAGTCTGAGTTTTGTCCATACAAAACTTGGATTTTTGATGAAGACGATCAAAGTCCTGACCTTGTTATTTTTCAGTAGGTTTGCAAAGCATGTCACTAGAAGAGCGCATTAAGCTCACATTGTGGGATTTGCGAAGTGTTTTGCAAAGAGACTTGAGAGAGCTGAATAGATTTCTGGTAGAAGAGCATGCTGCCTCCTACTGTGCCCCACAGATCTTGGCATGTGAAGCTTGGAGGAAACTGTAACTGGGTTTAATATGCTCATCCACTCATTGTGTAGTATTCCTTTTCTCCATTGCAATTGCAGTGGCATGAAAAGAGGGACCTGCTTTGGTGTGATCAGGACTTTGTTAAAGTTTAAGCATTCCTCTTGGCATTAATACAGCACCTCCTGAATTGATCAAAGTACTGCACACAATGATCTTAACCCATAAGAGAGGTCAGAATCTTCCTGTTGAGGATGTGGGTGGGAAAAAGGTCAAGGAGTGAGGCTGCACACAGCTTTGTGTGTGTTTATTTATTTCCTAAAATTTATGCACTGCTTGATTGTAAAAACAACCGCAAAGTGGTTTACAAAAAAATCTACAAACTACCTAGTTCCTGTTTCCTATGTACCATGAAATCTGTGTTTTTTTACCCAAGGATGGAGAACCCCTCCCCCCCATAAAAAGAGAGGAGAAGGGATTTTCCTCTAGGTGTTAGAAACAGTTTATTGCAGGCCCAACATATTTCAGAAAATTCGCAATTCAGTGATACATTTTAAGGAATCCCAGTCCCAAAACAAATGAAAGTAACCATGTGGGTGGTCAATGCCAAGCAAATAGAGCTAGCAACATAGGGTTTGGGCACCAGCGACTCTCCCTCCAAGTCCACTGCTGCTCAAATGGGAGTGAGAAGTGAGAGATCACTATTAATCTTATCCTGGTTTTCTTTCTGGAAGTTTGTATCAGAAGGTTTGCTTTTCCATAAGGCACACTGTGCCCCAGGACACGCCTCCCCTTATACCTTGAAGGGAGTAGAGATCAAAGAACAGGATTATATGCTGGTTGTGTTCACATGTAACACTAACTCAGGGTTTTTCAACCATGGTTTATTCAACAAACCACAAACCATGTTACAGAGGAGCAAATAATTTATGACTTGTTTCTTGAAAACTTGTTCTATTTCCCACTTTCTCTTACCTGGTGTCTCTATAGCATGATGATGATGATGATTTATTTATAGCTCGCTCATCTGGCTGGGTTTCCCCAGCCACTCTGGCTTCCAACCGAATATTAAAAACAATACCTCATCAAACATTAAAAACTTCCCTAAACAGGGCCGCCTTCAGTTGTCTTTTAAAAGTAAAATAGTTGCTTACTGCCTTGACATCTCCTGGGGTGGCTCAACAAGGCTGTTGAGTTCAGACATAATACAAAACCTTAGTTAAATCAATCCATGGTTTGTAAGCCAACAAGAAACCATGGTTGCACATAATGGTTATTCTGCTGGGCTGGGATTGGACATTCAGACTAACCACAGTTTAGTGTCATGTTCAAATCCAGGCTGTTGTAAGAATACGGTTGGGGTGTGAGGTTTCAGGAGCTGCATTGCTTCACGGATGCATTGCACAACCTGCATGTCTTTCTGGCTTACTTCTTGGGCTTTTCCTGTTCTCCTGGCTTACAGTCATAACTGTGAAAGGAGACGTAAGTTCCAGACAAAGAGAGATCCCCCCCTCCACTGTTTAGATCTACTTGGCAGACCAATGAGGCACTTCCAGCCCAATTTTTCACTTCCCACCCTTTGAAATAGGCTTGCCAACATTTCCTAATGCCCTTGTTCCTGTGACTTTCTCAGCGGACCAACACACAGAAAATAAGGAGAGGAATATTTTCTTGCCTCCCTATTTTTCATAGGCTTAACCTACACAAAGCTTAAGATCATGCTGGTCTTAAAGGCGAAAGGTCAGGGCTAGGGTTTTTTGTGTGTGAAGTTGCTTATTTGCTTCAGGCAGTTGCTGTATCTTTCCGCTGCTGTTTGTTCCCAAGGAGGGTAGGTTGAAATCCTCTTCAAAGTAGAGCCCTCTTCTTCTGTTCCTTTACATTTTTATCTTGCCTTTCCTCTGAAATGTTCACGGCTGCAGTTGTAACTGGGGTGAGGGTAGGGGGACGTGAGCCCCTTTT